ACTAAGTAGCGAGACAGTAGTTGCCCAGCTCGGCATGGGGCGCCTGGTCGTTTTGTGCTTTTGCGTCCTGAGGGGGGGGGGGGTTGGGGGGCGGCGGGTTATAATGTACGTGCCCTCGGGTACACAAGTTTCAGACTCTCTTTTGGGGGGGGGGGCGGGTGTTTCTTGTTTTGTTCTGTGCTTCTGTCACATGACCCACTCATGAAGCAATCTCTTGCATGCATGGCTCAAGGCCTAGTGTATAGCTCATGGGAGTGTTGCATGTTTGATCCTTGAAGGATCAAACACGGCGTCACATTTCATACTGTGGTCCTTTCCCTCTTGATTTGTTCCTCTTCCATCGGAGTAGATCTTCCTGGAGCTGGAGGACCTACGAGGTGTATTGCTGGCCCTATTGGGCCCCTGCATTTACAATCTCAGGGGGTTGGGGGCGGGGGGGGGGGAATAACGTATGTGCCCTCGAGTACACTAGTTTCCAAGAACTCTCTTTCCTGACATTGATTGGCAGCCGTGATTGCTACATGACGCTTCGTTTTGAAGAAAGGCGGCGCCAAATGCTTGGACAGAGATTTCTGCAGGCCTTAATGGCTTTTGTGCCCAAGACTGCAAACCAGAAATTTAAGACGAATGGGCGCTCGCATGTCTTTGATACTTTGCAGAGACGCTGCTGGCAATGGATCTGGCGAAACATACTGATGTTGGAAGAGCTTCGAAAGTTCTTCAGAGCTGCCCGAAAGAGGCTTACACTTGGTTTGGGCTTGCGGAAAAAGCATAAAGCAGCTTCTCATGTCCAAAAACAAGTAGTTTTTGACATTGTAACTGAAATTCTACTGGCGGGAAACAGCAACCACACATTTTCACCCAGGCGCCTGGCACCGAGCTGACCAAGTAGTTTCAGTTTCGACCGTGCGTTTTTTCAATACATGAATAACAAAATATAGGTATAAATGCACCACAAATACTACATAAAAAAAAGAGAACTAAGAAAAAACAACGCCAACAAGTGGATAAACCAATAGACCACTGCCCCATTCTTCGGGAGCTTCGGCCTGGCGCGTGTTTCCTCAGGCCCTGAGCTCGGAGACGGCTCTCCAGTTCGGAGCCCAGGAGAGCCGCCCGTTGCGACGCTCGGCGAGGGCGCCCGCGGGAAGCGCGGGAAGGGGGCGGTTACCATCCAATCTTGGGGGTCGTGTTTAGGTTGGTTGGAATAGAAATAGATGGGTTCCACGTTAGATTGTGTTCGCTTCCATTTGCCAGGGCCATTGAATTGTCGACCTATGATTTAAAAGCCTCCCCCGATGAAAGTTATGTGGTGGGCCGGCACTGATGAATAAACCACTCCCCCCAAATACAGTTATGTTGATTTTTGTGTTGTTTTTTTGGCGGGGAATCTACACACACACACACCCGCTAGCATCATCTCAACCTCTTCCACCAGCTTGTCTGATTGGTCAGTATCTGCCTCGCCTGGCTTAAAATTTCAGATCTACAAAAATACTAGCTCCCAAACTGCAAATTATTGACATACTCTTGTTTGAAAAGTGGCCCCGAATCAACCCTACAAGGGGAGTAGTACTTGAGGGTTGAAAAAACATCATTTAGAGGTTCCCCCTAAATAAAGATTTGTGGTTCCCCCCCCCAACAAAAAAAACTCAACTCGTGTTTGAAAAGGCTTTCTCAGTAAAAGGCTCAATCTTTAAAAGATTTCCCTTGAAACTTGCTCCCTATGATTTCAATCATCTAGCTTTTGCAACCCCAACAAAATCCCAGCTCCGAAACTCTAAATTCTTTACATACGCTTGTCTAAAAAGTGGCCCCCAATCAACCCCACAAGGGGGGCAGTACTTGGGGGTTGAAAAAAACCTTATTTAGGGGGCCCCCCTAAATAAAGATTTTTGGTTGCCCCCCCAAAAAAAACAAGAAGAAGTGTCACCAGCAATACTAAGTCAATTGGAATCCCAGCTCCAGCAATACTAAACCAGTTGAAACTCAAATCCCTCAGCAATACTAAACCAATAGGAAACTCAAATCCCTCAAGTCAAATCTCAAAAGGAGGCTCCAGCAATACGAAATCAATTAAAAACTCACATCCACCAATACTAAACCAATTGGAAACCCGAATCCAATCTCAAAAGGAGACTCCAGCAATACTGAATCAATTGAAACAGAAAAATATGTGTGCAATACTTAGCAATTCATAATCAAGTTCAGAACACAATTTGGGGAGGGAAGTTGTTTGAGGGGGGGGGTATTAATCAGAGGTAGACATTATGCTGCCAAAAGGACGCCTATGCTCCAATTGCTCTCAACAGCCAAGGAGGGGACTTCTTGGACGATGCATTCCGCAAGAAGAATGAGGCTTGCAAATGTTTGCATGTCAGCATGTTCTGCTGAATGCGTTCTGCCGTGCTTCCATGCCTGTGATACTGTGGATGGACGAAATCCTGCACCACTTAAGAAACCCTGGAAGGATGATTCCCCTGTAAATACCAATCAACAATGGTTTCAACCATGGATTCCAAGTGGTGCCTAACAGGATTTCGTCCACCCACAGGTGCTGCTGAACTTCAACCGGACGCCGGAGTTGACCAAGCACAAGACCCCATCGGGGAAGATCGGCTACTACGTTTGGCGTCTTGACTGCAGTTTTGTTTCTTGCACGTGCTGCTTCAGTCTGCAACGGCTGCTCGCCTGGGAGAATCCAACCAGTGAACAGCGAACGGCAGGTGCCTGGCTTTTCCATGCCACAAAATGAGCCTCAGCACCCTCCAAGGGCTCTCAATTGGTACCCAACATGGCTCACACAAGGGCACTTCAGGCACACATGGAGCAATTTTGAAGGGTGCTGGTGGCCTGACTACCCTGGCGTTGCATTGGAAGAAATCGGCGGTTGGCTGAGGAAGCCCTACGTGCTCTTGCAGACACTCCTGGATCCAAAGCCTTTGGGCCTGAGAAGGGGCTTCTGGCGGCCGTGTCAGACGCATCCGGCTTGTTTCGGGGGTCAGGAGTTCTTTCCCATTTTTGGTGGCTTCAAGAATCCTTTTTTTTTTTTTTTGGCCCAAGGTGAGTGTCTCTTGGTGGGGGTGATGTGTTAAGGGGAAGAATGTAGGGAGCCCTGGTCTTGCAACGGCCCTCGATGAGAAGACTAAAGTCGGCTAGGGGATTTGACAGTGGGGTACTCTGCCAAGGTTGCCATGGGATACTACAGCTGTCGCCTGGACAGATGCTGGCATTCACTTTGTCGGTGTCATGGCAAATTGGCGCTTCAAAGGTTGGCACACCTGAATCAAGCATGTTGCAGATTACATCGGCAGGGTTTCGAAACAGCAATCATGCGCGACCTTCAATCTGAGTTACAGCAACTGAGTAGTTTTTGTTTGCCGAACTTGTGTGTGTGTGTGGCTGCTGGCTGAGGAGACATGCGGCCACTGGTGAATGATTACTTGAGGGACTCAGACGTCTCCTCCACACGGACTGGTAGCCTGCATGTGCTTTGACCGTCACACAGTATTCATGGTTTGTGTGGCGGGTGGCTTGCATCCTTGGGTGGCATGGCTCAGATGGCCATGACTGTTAAGAGTGATTGGTGGACATGAATCCCCACCTAAATGATGTCCACCAAAGGGAAATTCATGCCCAGATGAATGACCCCTCCAGGACCCCAATGAACGAAGGCGACTTCTCGAAGCGCGATGCGTTTGTGCTGCTGGATGCGGATTTCCCGATTATGATGGATACCAATCAGAAGCTTTGCCCTTGGCCGCGTTTTCATGGGGCCAGATGTGGGTTGCTTCTGAGACGAGGTGAGTCGCAATCAAAACCCGGGTAGATGAAGGTTAGTAAGGGACGGTAAGGGACGATCCAAACCAGACATAGCTGCGGATATCCGCCTTCCAAATTCTTTACATGGTGCTGGGATTACGACCATTCTAATACCGGGTTTTGATTGTGACTCAGGGTGTTGATCTCGTTGCGACCGAGGATCGCCACGGGCTTCATCTTGGTGCGGAAGACGGCGCTGGCCGTGGCGTTCCTGGAGAAGTGGCTGGCGGCGTGCGAGGACCGGCGGGTCATGACGGAAGAGGACTCGGTGCTGGGCTACCCTGAGCACCCAGGCGGGTCAAGGGCGAGCGTCTTGGGGTTGGACTGGGAAGGCCTTGGGTTCATGACAGATGGGCGTGGCGAAAGGGGGCAACCGGCCGTCCAGGGTATAAGAACAACAACGATGACCAGACAGCTTTCTCCTTGCTCTTCAAGCGTCATGGCTTCCGGGCTTTCTCGGTGGAGGAGCGTGATGCCGTGGTGTACACCGGCCGGAACCTGGCCAAATTCGTGAAGGCCGGCCACGAAGCCTTCCAAGGGAGAGGTTCGATCTCGCGGTGTTTGATTCTTTGGCGGACGGGGTCGGCGTGCCAGGCCTCCAATGACTTCGCCCTGGGCGTGGACACAGATCGGGAAGCATACCTCCAAGCTGCGGAGGATGCTGCCAAGCAACATTTTGGCTGAAACGGTCCGCTGCCCCAGCGCATGATGGAGCTCCCTGTGGCACGCCGCAGCAAGATGCACAAGAGACACCGGGCATCTGAAGCGAGGCGGCCTGCCTGCCGGGCGGCCGGACCACCAGCCTGGGCGAGATGGCTGCGGGGCTGGGGGCGTACCTGCGGCGGAGATGTGCCTGCGCAACTTATCAACGGCGAGTAGTGAAGACCATCCCAGGCGGCGGCGTGCAGGTGTGCAGCAGGGTCAGGAAGACTTGCTCCTGTGCGTGAGCAGCAAATGAATCAGCTCGAGCTGACACAAATGAGGCCTCTGCTGCAGACAGATACGTAGATGACTGGCGGTGGGTCCGGTTGGCTCTTTTGATTCTTTGTCCGTCCTTTTGCATGCGGCTGTTTGGGTGTGTGCCTCAATAGCGGGACCGCCAAGGTTTGGCCATTGGTGGTCCTTCGGTTTCCCTGAAGCCCCAAAAACGGGTAGGCTCATGTGTATGGCTCGGCCAGGCCAGACATGGCCGGCTCATGGTGCTGCCATGATGCGCTCGGTGCGGGGAGGGACGGAGGGATGCGTCGCCATGTCTGCGTGGTGGTTGAGTCGGTGGGGCCAGGGATGCAAGGAATGAGGGAGACGTTTCTGTTGTGCACCGAGGGCAGCGTGGAGATTTGGCTGTGGGTCAAGAAAAGGTACCCAAAATTGGCTTGCCCTGGTAAATGGAAACATGGACTAAAACCTGCGGTCCAATTCCTGGTGGTTTCATTCTGACCCATACCCACTTGACCTCTGCCTAGCTTCCGCACCGCATGGGCCACATGACAGGGGGCCGTTTCGTTGGGCGATGCTTCAGGTCTTCGGCGCGGCGGATGACCTGCTGAGAGGCGCCGAAGGCGCAACGGGCTGTGAGCCAACGAGCCTCACAGGCTCTGCAACACTTGGCACTCCCCACTCAAATTCTGGGTTGTCATCGTATGTTGTTGGCGCCCCTGAACATCGGTGGGCACCTTTTTCGTTGCCTTGCTAAGTCAAGACCCTCTGGACGCAACGGCAGAGAGAGAGAGAGAGAATCAACTTCTGAGGTTTTCGAGGTCTGGGAACCTCACACTGTCAGCACGCACAGGCGGCCAGCCCAGCTTTCCTCAGCATGCGCGCAGGCCTGAGGAGTTCGATTTTTCCGCCTGAGCCTTGCCTAACTGCGGCCTATACACATCGAGTGAAGGCCAAATTTTATCTCATGAGCATCACCTTAAGGGCGTTGTGGCGCATTCCCCGGGCCCAGTATGTCATTTTTTGTTTGTTTTGAGGGTACCTGTTTTGGGTGGTTTTACATGGAAGCCAGCAAAACGCTTGGCTGGAATGGCCCCGCGGCATTTGCCCTTCCAAGGCCTCCCGGGAAGTTCATCTTCCGGCCGCGCACGGGTCGCATCTTGCCTGGCAAGCGTGGCCCGAGGCCGTCACAACCCATGCTTTCTCCCCCCCCGCGCCAAGAGAGTAGAACAACACAAACAACACAAGCACACACACACACACACACATGGCTGTGGGTCAAAACCAATGGAATCTCATTTTGTGGTAGGTGCACCACCCATTTTAGAACCCATTTTAGTGGGGATTGGGATTTACTCGGGGTACGGGATTTTGACCCCTGGCCACGAGCAAGGAAAGCAGACCAAGGAAGACAGCGAGCTTAGATTGGGTCTGTCACACCTCAAGGCTCTCCGCTTTGCAAGAGCCTGGGCCCGGCCACGATCTGAGGCATGAACTGGCGGCTGCTCCACTCTCTGGACATAGACCGAGTTGTGCGGGAAGGTGATGTTGATACAATCCAGGCGCGCGGGTATTTAAGCTTCTGTGATGTTTGACTTGCACGCTCTTTGCCAGCGTCCTGTCCCGGCTACTTCAAATCACTTCTTTCCCACCTCCCGTCCTGTGGACCTGCGGAAATCATGCTTTTTGCTTGGGCTTCTTGAAGCAAAATTTGAAGCAAGCAGCTTTTCTTGAGGCCTACATGGACAATATCACCTTTTCCCGGTTTGGCCGGGAAGACCTGGATGTGACCAGCGATGATTGTATCATCAAGGCCTGGCAGCAACCTGCTGGGCCTACTTTGCAATGCCCATATGCGCTTGTCGGAGCTGCCAGATTTCGGCCACCCGTCGTTTTCAGGTCCTGTGGCAGTTTGCGGCTGCTTTGTGTACATTAGTTCATTTGAAGGCCTCGACTGTGATCCTTGTTACGCCCATAGCCTTGTGCAGGTCGTGCAGCTCGCACAGCTCTGCATGGAGTTTCTGAACTACATGCGCCACGCCTGCACTGGTTTAGGCGGCAGGGAGGCACTTGGAGAAGAGACCGACGTCAGTATGCGATTTTGACTGTTCTTGATTGGTATCTTTGGTATCTCTTTCCGGCTCTGTGAATATATGGAAGCACCAAGAAAAGACACAGTTGGGAGGCTTGTCAAGGCACAGCAAATCTTTTGCCCAGCAAGGAAGCAGTCAGTGAGTGGGGGCTGAACCAGAGGGCAAAGCTGCTCGTGCGCACCACCCCCACGTCATGCAAACGGATGAGCCAATATGCCTGGCCGGCTTTCCTTGCTCAGGTGTGCATCCTCCCAGCATCTGGTCCAGGCCTGCGTGTATCCCTGAGCATGAGAGACTTCACACAGGTCGCTTGAAGGTGCATGTCGCCATCCACGAGTTCATGTTGCTTCAACTTGCTATACTGGTATCAACTGGGACGGACGGATGGATGGATGGATGGGTGGGTGGGTGGGTGGATGGATGGATGGATGGATGAATGGATCAGATGACAGTTGGATTGCCCACGATAAGCTATCATTTTGTGCCAGACCCACCTCGTGTGACCGTGTGCAAGTTGTTGCTTGCAGTGCTGGCCCAATCTGCATCTTGGTTTGCCGATGTTTTTTTGCCAGGGGCTTACCGAGAAGGTCCGGATTCAGGCAAGGCCTGGCAGCCACAAATCAAAATGTCCTTCCATGTCCTTCCTGTCGAAGAAGCGAGTTCTCTAGTGAAGCGGTGAATGATTCCAGCTAGACTTGTCACATAAATCGCATTCACTTTTCCTTTCAGTGCAGCTCATTCAACTGCAACGGAAAGGGCATCGTTCTCTGAAGGCGATCACTCGTTACCGCAACCATCCGCAACCAAGTAGCCTGAATAATTTTTAGAACCCAGAAAATAACCAGAGCATCGGTCAGGCAAAGCTGTCTAGGGGCGTGAGCACACACCCTGGGATAGATGACCCCCGAAAGGCTTGCTGGTGTTCCTACCGCAGGATTTTACTGTATCTATATATCTATAAACAAGGCTGCTGTGTCCAATGTCGAGAAAGAGGAATTGGGTTCCAAGCAAAGAGCACAGAAAACCTGACCCAGCAACCTCAAAAGCAAGAATAACACTAACTACAAGCAAGCGTTTTCACCGGCAAACATGTCACCAAGCTGAGGGTAGGCATCGTCGGTCGAAGTCCCGAGCGCTTGGATCCGATGCTGTGTCGCGCCAGCGCGAGTTTTGGATGGCAGGCTGCTCAGCTCAAAGTGGCCGACACGCGGCGGCGCAGCGAAAGGCTGCTGCAGTCGCGTCGCGGATAGGCTGCAGTGTGTGATTCGGGTCAGTCGTTTCTTTTTGTGGGTATCTTCTTGTTTATTCTGCCGCTGTCTGGTTGGCAGAATCAAGTCGGAGCTTCAGTTGAATGGGAACTACTGGTACCCAATTCACAACACATGGTTTGCCCCTCGAGTAGAGTCCGAGTTTTGAATGTGCAGGAACTACATATTGTTATTTGCAGTGGTGCATGGCTTTCCAGACTCGTTTGTGCTGCTAAGTTTGCCTTTGAACATACAATCTTGGCATTGCCCACAATTGGCAGCGGTTCCTGTCGTTCCAAGTCACATTTTCTTGTTTTCTTCCCCCCGCATTTGTTTTCGTTGGTGGGTGCAAGTAGTGCCTTGACGTTCCTTTCAGGCATCCCTTGCCTTTTTCTCTGCATTCCCGATTTTCCCTAAGCCTTGCGGCTTGCAGCTTGCCCGAAGCACTTTGTTGGAAAGCAATGGCAACATCAAAGCATCTTGGGTCTCATTAAGCATGATTAGTGTGTGGGCCGAGCCGTCATGTGCCCCCACAGCCTCACGCAGGCTGAAGCAGTTTGAGCAACCAGGTACCCTCCCACTAACTAACACGGAAGTGCTCACACCCCCTTTCCAAGAGGAAAGCAGTCTTTCTACAGGGGTCTGTGCACTTCCATGTTAGTCGGTGGGAGAGTAATTATTTCCCAGCACGGAAGGCAACTGTCAGACTGTGACAGGCCCCGCCGCAGCCCGAGGGGCGAGCGGCAGGCTGGGCACTCGCGTCTAAGCTGGCAAATTGCCTTGATGCTCAAACTTCCCCAGTTGGAGGGAGGTCTGTCCTTTTGCTTGGGGGTGTTGGACTTGGTCGCGGAGTGCCTGTGTGGCGTGTAGGTCTTTTGCGTGTTGGAGTTGGAGGCAGTGCGTACGGCACACGCCAGCGTTCTTGGAAGATGGAAGGGCCCTCCTTCCATCAGGCCCAGGCCTTTGTGCGGAAGTGCCCCCACTGCACCAAGCGCTTCCAGCGCCTTGGCCGAATTTAAAGTTCTGCGGTCATATCGGTGCACCTGCCTCCCTCAGACCACCCTTCTCGTGAGCATCGTGAGGTCTGAGCAGTATTTGAACGAGCATCTTCTGCGGCGCCACATTGCAGACGTCTTCCAGGTTGCCGCGGGCTCGAGCGGATGAAAACGCAGGCCTAAAGTGGGGTACCGTTTTCCACTTCTTTGCAGGGAGGCGGATCTTTCTAGACAACCTCCGGAAGCCCCCGGGGAAAACGGATCCGGTGGTTGGAAAGAACGATGGTTGAAAAGAATGGGGAATCAAACCCTAGAATGCCTCCAGTCCCTTTCGCTTGGACCTTGAGCTGGAAGCTTCCCAGGAGAAGGTGCCAGAGCCCCAACCAGAAAGCATCCTTGGCGGGCGAGGGCAAGGCAGGATCAAGCCGAGCATCGCCTTGTGGCTGCCTTCAGTGCCAAAGCCCAGCCAGGACTGGACAGTTCGGAGATCTCCGAGGCACGCGGCAGTCTTGTCATGTGCAAAAGGTTAGCTCCTTTTGCAGTGCGTTTGTTGGCCAGTGCCATCATGCAGTCGCTATGCTCTGTGCAGTCGCTATGCTCTCAAGGCCCGTCACGTCACGATACGTCACGTGTTTATGTTGCAATGGAGGGTGAGCGGCCGCATGGGAACTGATCGGAGCCTTGGCCGAAGCTTGATGTGGGCAGAGGTCGGCATTGAGGCCCTGCTGTTCATTGAGGCTTCCCTGAAAGGATTCTCAGCAAGCCAGCTCATATTCGAAACTGGTTGTGAAAGTGGGGAAAGTTGGAATCAACGCGAGTTTCCTCAGCAACGTCACAGTGTCGCATGGCGCTGCATCAAGGTTGGCACTTGTACTTAGGACGCTCCTGGTGGCTCTTTGCCTTGGTTGCGCATCCAGCTCGCATGTAGAGGCGGGCAAGCTCAGCGTGGTCGCGTGGATGCCTTTGCCCACTGCTTTGGTTGAGGTGAAGCGACACAGGCCCAACGAAGCCGCAGTGGGAGCGCAAGGCTGGGCACAAGGCGAGCGGACCCCACTGTTCTGGTTGCTCCATGGGGAGTGTCGCCGGCTAAGCATCGGCCTTGAAGGCAACCCGTTACTGGCAAGGGGAAAACATGTTGCAACCACCCAAGGGCCTGGCCCCTGAGCAAGGAAAGCAATGTAAAGACTTTAAATTTGCAGCAACCTGCTGTGCCGAAAGCTACACCGCAGGAGAGGTGAGCTTGGCAACGCCCTGGCGATTGCAAGGGCGGCTCGGCATCGAATTTTGAGCTTGCGCAGAGCTACGGATCTCGTCTTCAGTCGGCCAAGGTCTGGCGAGCTCTGCGAATCAGCACCTTTTGTGCAGCTCGGCGGGCGACACGCGACGCCTCTGCCTGGGCAAATGCGGAGGGAATCGCCGGGATGTTAACGAGACGCGTCTCGTTTGCGGGCGCGCTGCTTGCTCTTTCTGCCTGCCCAGGTATGTCTCTTCACAAGAGCAGTGCCAGAAGTTTGCGGCAGATCGCGGCCACGGCTTCTACGCTCACAGGCCGTGCACTTGCGCATTCTTCGAATTGGCCCTTTAGGCCTTCAGACTTGAGGGGCATTGCGCGTCCATGTTGCGGGGAGAACGAGAGTATCGTGCGCAGGTCTGATCTGAATCCGCAGCGCTGCATCACCTTCGCCCCTTGGAATTGAAAGTACCCACGCCAGAATCACATGCATGCATTCCCTCTGCTTCGTTTCCAGCAACCAACTGCTGATTCAGGAGTCCTGCGGCTCACCTATATACGGCAGAAGTGATTTCTGGAGTCTTTACAAGAATCCGCTGGCTAGTGCCTGGCTGCAACAATGCATTGGCGTTTGGACGTCTCAAGGGCCTCACAGAAAGGATTGGGTTGGCCGGGGCTGGTGTGGGCTCCTTGCTGAACAGTGCCGCCAAGCCATGTCGAACTAGAGCAGTGTGTCCCGCCCAGGTGCTGTTCGCGCAGAGGGCAGCGGGGAGGGCGACGAGGGGGCCGACAGCAGCGAAGAGAGCAGCTTGTGCGTGGACTCTTGGCTTGATTGCTGCCGCTGGGCTTTTGCTTCAAGTTGCGGGCACAGGCACCACATCACCAGCATTTGCCAGGCCGCATGCCAGCAAGATTCCGAGCCATTTCTTGCTGCAGCTGGCACATGTCAAGCTCAAGCCAACTCTAGGGCGGAGATGGCTGCCCTCCAGGCCGCCCTCCGCCCCGCTTCCTCTTCCATTCGGCGCTTTGCCACGGCCACGGGGCTGCCCCGGCTGCGCCTGCGGGGCTTACCCTTCCACGCCACGGCGCGGGACGTGGCGGGCTTCTTCCGGGGCTTCCGCCTGGCGCCGGGGAGCCACGGCGGCGATGCAGTGGAGCTGCTGCGTGGCCACGGGCGCCGGCCCACGGGCCAGGCCTTCGCCTACTTCCAGGACGTGGTGGAAGCCATGAAGGCGAAGGACGAGCTGTGCTCAAAACCGTTTTGGTTGATCCCATTTTGGTTGGGATTGGTGAATTCACCACCCAGTTTAGGACCTATTTTAGTGACTGGATTAAATCGGATGTTCACTGGGGGTACGATTTGGCTTTTGACCCATGGCCAGATGGAGATGGTTGACTAAAGGGCACCGACCTTCCAACGTGTTCCGACATTTTTATATGCAAAACTCAACCATCGGGCCTCAGAATCCGAGAAAGGACATGTTCCACCGTGTCTTATCCTTTTTCCAAACGTCGGGCCTCAGAATCCGAAAAGAAAAGGACATCGTATCTTCTGACACGTCTTGATTATACTTTTTCCAAACATCGGGCCTCGGAAATTTGGGAGAGAACCCACCTCCGGCGCCTTTTGGGCGGCAAGTCCATTTTGGATCGTAGAGAATTGGGAGAAGAAAGTTCGGAGAAGAAAATTCAGAGAAGAAAATTCGGAGAAGAAAATTCGAAGAAGAAAAGAAAGCCTCCGGTGTTTTTGCCGCTCGCAATCGCAGGACGCCTTGGACGGGCACCCCTGCTGCGTGATCGGGTCCCAGGTCTACCGCCTGGAGCTCTTAGAGGACTTCGCGGGCCGGGCCATCGAGCGGGAGGAGGACGTGCCCGGGGACATCGTGGAGGAGGAGCTGCGGGACAAGGCGCCGGGAGCTGCAGGGCTCCGAATAAAAAATCGATACATTTTGCTTCACCATTTGAGTTACATGTGGCTTTTTCAACACCAAAATAAAGGGACACCACCATGTACAAGTTGCAATGCTCAGGTGTATAATCTAGGGATCCCTGTGTTGGCTTGGATCTGAAAACACTCCCGGCTAACCTGGAAAAAACCTCTCTAAATGAAACCAGTTTTCTTCCAAAGCGGACCTGGGAGCAGGAACCACGCTAGTCTGAGGGTGGGCTTTAACTTGTTGGATTCTTCTCATGTTTCCTTTAAACCAGCGAAAAGTTAAACTGTTTTGGGGGTTCTACAGCACCCAAGGTGCGCAAGTCCATGGTGGGCCTGAAGTACAAGGAGAAGCTGCTGTGGCGCATTTTTCTTGGAGGGATGGATGTTAGGACTTTAACCTTTTTTTGCCAACGGATGTTTTTTTCTTCATTAAACCGCCAAAAGTGAAACTTTTAGCAAGGGAGCAGAAAACAACCAAGGCTGGCTATGAGGAACTTCAAGTTCCGACAGTGGTAGTGCAAGATGTGAAGGAGATGTGAAGGAGATGTGAAGGGCTGAAAAGAGGTCTGTGTCACCCAGCTTTTGAAAAGAGATTGAGAGTGGGCGTGAGCGCTGTGGAAAAGTTGGCGTCGGGCAGTGCGCACTCAAGTGTGACAGTTGAATGAGAGGCATGAATAGCGCACCACGCAAACACTCACACGATTTTGCACACATATGTGTATATCTATATATCTATATACACAAATACACATACATATATGTACATGTACTATATATGTATAAATCATACACAGTACACGCGCAGTTCTATTTGCACCACGACTTGCGCACGAGCAAACAGCGGCGGTGTCACCTGGCAAAGCTTGCTGAGGACACCTGGCTGCCAGACTGGACGGAAGATGCCAGCCTCGCCTGCAAGAGCTGGGCCACGGACAAGTCATGGGGCGCGCTGCAGCGAGGACCGCTGGAGAAGTCAGCGAATTGGTTTCCCTTGGAGCCGGGTGCGTGCGCGACTGCACGCAAGCAGGGCTGAAAGCGGAAATCAGCGGCAAAAGCATCGAGATTTCTTGCTTTGGCCCCTGGGCGTGTTTGCCTCCAGGCTTGGCTGCACGCTGAATCACCTGGCAGGACGCAGCCTGCAAGAAGCTTGCGACACCTTCTGGGCCCAGCTGAACTGCGCAAAGACCTGTGGCTGCAGCAAGTCAGGCAGGGTGCTAGATGTCGAAAACGGCACGGAGGCTCCAACAGAAAGTGTTCTTAGATCTTCCGCAAAGCTGCCGTGCCAATGCAGATCCAAGACTCCAGACCCAGCCAAACCATCCATTCCATGACTCGTGAGTTTGGATTGTGGCGTGCGCAGACCAAACAACTCGGCTAGGCACGTCTGCCTCTTCCGCCCGAGCATCCACCTGGTGCAGCGACTCTCCATTGGCAATGGGGTGGCCTTTTTGGCTGCGAAGGGGACTTGGGGCCTTGGGTGCGAATGCCAGATGGCACTTAGGACACCTGGACGCCAAGCTGGGCGGAGGATGCCAGACACGCCTGTTCCGTTTGGGCGCAGGATCCGACGGCGTGTGAGTGGCAAACAGGGCTGTGACTGCCGATCGGAGAATTCACGCGCGGAAGGTACCGAAGATGGACGGTACCTATGATATCAGAAAGGATTTTTAAAGGGATTCAGGTTGTTTGAGGAAGAAATGTGCCTTTGGTTTCCGTGGGATTTCCGCGAAAAGAACCGACTAAACTCAGCTTCCCTCTAACTGGTGGCTTGGATCGGTGGTGGTTCAGGAGGGGTTTCCCAGGGTTCAAATCCCGAGAGGACGTGGTGGGCAGCTTGGTGAGCGCCTGCAAGGGGAACTGGGCACAGGAGCCTTGGGTGGGGCCCTCTGAAGGAAATACCCTCCCCCAGGCTTACATGGAAGCTCGCAGGACCCTTGGAAGACTTGGTTCCATTTATAGAAGCCTTCTCGGAGCTTCCGTGTTAGTCTGAGGGAGTGTACCCTTCCGCTAACATAGTCCACATGGCATTTGTGGGGTGGGGTGGGGGTACCTGGAAGATGAGTTTTTTCTTCAATGGACCCTCTGTCAGGTGCCATGTTGGTGGAAGGGCAGTCAGGTTCCTTATTTGGTGGTTGGATTGGTGGTTGAACTGGTTTTTGCAGAGGGTACATGGGAGCCACGTCCGGACCGCCAATGGGCCAAACCACCAAAAAACCAATCCAAAGCACCACTTAGGGAGAAGCTGAAATAGGGGGGGACATAGATCGATTCCGATCGCCCGGCGATGTTTTTTCTCCTCGAGAGTGCCGACTCTTTGATTCAGGCTTTG